ATTTATTTATATATTATTTTGTACTGGGGAATGAACTCAGAACCTTGAGGCAGTTGCAGTGCCACTGAGCTAAATGCTTGGCCCAGAAAATTTACTTTAAAATAGATTTTGTCCACCACAGACCTTCTGGTAGTTTGTCAAGTTGTCTTAGCGGCAACTCCCTTACCTTAAATTTCTGCTATTAATCTTAAGTGCCCCAGATATGACAAGCAGTTAAGTTTAATGTAACTTGGTCAATTAACCCAAAATAATTTTATTAAAAAGATAGTATAATTCTCTTAATTGAAAACAACACAAGATCTGAAACCTTCTGTACTTCCTGTACTAAAAATGTAATTGGACAGGCCGGGGATTTAGCTCAGTGGTTTCACCGTCTGCTGCACAAGCACAAGGACCCAAGTTCCATCCCCGGTACCAAAAAAAAAAAAAATGTAATTGGACAAGACATGAAGCAGGGCTGAGGATGTAGGGCAGTGGTCGAGCACTTACCCACCATGTCCAAGGTCCTGAGTTCAATCTCCTGTACTGAAAACAAACAAACACTATGAAGCATTGTAGCATGCGGAAAAAATTTTAAGTAGCAGCATGAAATGTAATCAAGAGCTTTAAAAAGTATGTAGTATTTTTAAGATACAAAATAAGTTTTCTCAGTATAGAGCTGGAAAGCATGATTTCTTTCCATCCTTCCTCCTTCCCTCTTTTCTTCCTCTTTTCCATCCTTCTACTTTTAGTACATTTTAAAGTGATGTTTTTGTACCGACAGGAGAGTTTTACCACAAACTTCATCAGTGGCAATAAACTCATCCATGTAAACTGCTCAAACCTCCCTCAGATGGGGATAACAGATTTTGAGCATATGAAGGTGAGTTGTGTACAGATTTCCCCTATGGAGCACTGTAATAATGCTGCCATCTGTCTCAGATCAGTTTCTTTTTCTTCCAGTCCTATTTCTATCTGCGGATGTCATTGTACTTGAAATCCCCCAGGCTCACAATGGTTTCTCTCTCTCTCCTCTCCCTCTCCCTGTCTCTCTCTCTCTCTGTCTCTCTCCTTTTACTCTATACAAAGATCCCAACAACAGCCAGTTCCTCTTATGGCACTTAGGCTATCTGGTTTTCTCCATTCCCACTTTTCAGACTGTTACTGCCCCATTCCACTGCAGTAGCTCTCTGTATTTAGCCTCTCTATGGGCCCTTTGTATTCAAGGGCTCTGCTTTCAGCTCCTCACTTTCCAACTACTAAGATACTATTTAAACACTTTTGAATCCCCTCTGCCTACAATATTGTCCCAACTCCTTAGATAAGTGTTCAGTGTCCTCCACAAGTTTTCTCTAGCCACCAACCTCTTCCCTTCTCACTGTGAGTCTTCTGCTCCAGCATACCAAGTCTGACTCACAGTATCGCAGACTGGTCTGGTACATGCCTCTCTCTGTGTCTTTGCTCAGTTCCTCTTCCCTTGTATTACTAATAGGAATTTTAGTGATTCTTCCAGACCAATTTCTTATTCTCATTTCCCCAAGAAGTCTTTCCGGACCACAGTAACCTTTCTTCCCACTCTCTCATAACATTTTATTTCTCCAATACCCTTTTAGCACTTACTTTATAACACCATATATATTTTGCTTGGTTTGCTGCCTGACTTTTAAACAGGTTACATTAACCTCTGTGGGTCTCATCTTACCAGCACTAGCAGTTCAAGATCCCTCCCTTTGCTTAACAGTAACCTCCATGGGTAATGTTTTGCAATTTACAAAGCATCACATAGGTACTCTCATTTGTAACCTTTCCTCTAGCACTTCTACCCCAACATGACAATGTTCACTCAGCATACCCATGTCCATTGATGCTTTATCTCAATGGTTCCCAAATATGGATAATGGTCTTCAAAATCAGATGAGAGTTTTGTTTTGTTTTTAAGGTAGATTCCCAAGCTTGCCCTCCAGAGTTTTTAGTTCATTAGTTTTAGCGTAGGCTCTGGAATCTGTTCCCTGGGACTCTTCAGCAGGCTTTTGAACCATGTAATGCCATACATCATTAAGTTTGGAAAATAAGAAAACTGTATTTGTTGGGGGGTTTTTTTTGGTACTGGGGATCGAACTCAGGACCTTGCGCTTGCAAGGCAGGTGCCTGAACCACTGAGCTAAATCCCTGGCCCAGAAAACTATATTTGTTAATATTCAAGACCTTTTACTGGCAATGACATGTAAGGAATTCCTTTAAATTATTAAACACAGAGACCTAACTGAACATTTACTCTCTTAAATTCTGCTAATAATTATTCTTTGCTGAGTGCTTATTTTATATGTGGCACCATACATATGTCATTTCCCCCAATCTTCATTTTACAGAAGAGAAAACAGGCCTAGAAATATGAAGGAATTTATAAAAGATAATTTAGTTAAGAGCCAGGGAAGGGGGCCGGTATATAGACAAATATTTATGTACATAATGTGGGAAGGACCACTTATTAAATATGGTATTTTCAACCATGCCCTCACATACCTATCAAGTACTGCCAGATAAATAGCTTATTCTTTTTATGTTCAAAAATGGTACATCTGTAATTATGAGCTCTAATTTCTACTTAAGAGTATACTGAATGTTTAAATAAAATAAGGCACAGAATTAACAAAATATTTTTAATCCAAATTCCTGATTTAAGCACTGAGAATTTCAGCTCTTAATCTTTTTTTTCTTTTTGTACTGGGGATTGAACTCAGGACCTTGTCAGCTCCTAATCTTTTCTTCGGTATCAGGGATTGAACTCAGGTCCTTGCGCTTGCGCAGCAGGTGGCAAGACCACTGAGCTAAATCCCCGGCCCTTAACTATTTGGAGATGAACTTTTTTTTTTTCATTTGGTACCGGGGATCGAACTCGGGCCCTTGAGCTCTTAATCTTAAATGAAGATTTTGGGGGGGGGGGTACTGGGAATCGAACCCAGGACCTTGCGCTTGTGAGGCAGGCAGAGGTGCCACTGAGCTAAATCCCCGGCCCTTAAGAAAAGATTTTTGAGAGTGGCATTCTGATTCCAGAAGTACAATATCAATATACAAAAATAAAGATTCTAATAATGTTTTTTCTGGTCTTGCAAGAAACAAGAGGTCTTGGATAGCCTCAAGAATTAATGATAAATCTATTAGTCTATCCTTATATCCCAAGAACTTTAAATAAGCAAACTTTGAGATAGTTATTATCAAAGTCATAGACAAATATGGCCTCTCTTTGAAATCAGTAGAGTAACATTAAAATCAAGATTTAGAGGTATGTTACATAAGCATTACTTGACACTTAGGTCCATATAAAAGAGGTAGTTATACTCTAAGACACAGGTATCTTTCTAGAATCATACATGAACTTAAGTATGCTGTAGTTACCTTCTTTATTGATATAGGAATCATTTTGTTTTTGTTTTTTGTTTTTGCATTGCTAGGAATCCAAACCTAGGGCATGTGGCATGCTAGGCTCTACCACTGAGGTACACACCTAGTCTGTATATCACATATTTTTATCTCACTGTTGTAATTACAGCAACTAATACATCCACAATTTACCCCATAACAATATTTAAATAAGTCAATCTTATTTATTTTAGGGACAAAGTAGGTAAAAGAACATTACACTTGCTTTGTCTTTCTCTCTTAGAAAATAATTCTGAAAATATCCACTATTTGCTATATCAAGTGAGCAAAAATATTCTGTGGTAAATATTTGGAGGACATACATAAGTTGTTTATTCATTTTGTATGCATGATTTTATAGTCTAAAATACAGCCTTATAAACTTTACAATATTTTAGCAATTTTGCTACTCTTGCCTTGTTAAAAATTATTTAAGTAGCACAAATTTATAACATGTCAACAATTGAGGCAGACCTTTTTAATTTTTTAAAAAGGCTTTTATTTTGTGAATAATTTCAGTTTTACAGAAGAGTTGCAAAGATAGTAGTACAGTGAGTTTCTGTATACTCTTTTTTTTTTTTTTTTTGGTGGTACCAGGGAAATCAAACTCAGGATCTTGCACTTGTGAGGCAGGTGTGGTGGCACTGAGCTAAATCCTGGCCCAAATTTCTGTATACTCTTAACCTAGATTCCCCTAATGTTAAAATTTTATGTAACTATGGTATATTCATTAAAACTAACAAATTACAGGGCCGGGGATTTAGCTCAGTGGTTTTGCTGCCTGCTGCGCAAGCGGAAGGATCCAAGTTTGATCCCTGGCACCAAAAATAATAATAATAATAAAACTAACAAATTACCTTTGATCTAATATTGTATTATTAAATGATGAACTTTATTCAGATTCTGCATTGTCTCCACTCATGATAATTTTTTGTTTCAGGATGTAATCTGGGATATTACATTGCACTTAGCTGTCATGTTTCTTTCGTCTCTTCTAGTGTGGGATGGTTTCTTGATCTTTCTGTTTTTCATTACCTTGACACTTCTGAAGATAAGTGAACAAGCATTTTTATAAATTTCCTTCAGTTTTAGTTTTTCGGATCTTTCCCAATCATGATTAAGGTTATGAATTTGGGAGGAGACTATCACAGAGGTGATAAGCCCTTCTCATCTCATACTGGGACATTATATTTGTATGGTTCAATACTGGAAACATTAGCCTGATCATTTGGTTAAGGGGTGTTTGCCAGATTTCCTTGCTATATAATGTTTTGTGTTTTGAGATGAGGTCTCACTAACTTGCCTAGGTTGGCCTTGAACTTGCAGTCCTCCCACCACAGCCTCCTGAGTAGCTGCTGGGGCTACAGGTATGTGCTAGCTTCTTCTCTATAATAAAGTTACTGTGTTCTCCTTTTATTTTTTGCTCTTTAGAAGTGAGTAACTACTGCCTCGCAAGCACAAGGTCCTGAGTTTGATCCCTGGTACCAAAACAAAACAAAACAAAAATGCTACTTTTGTTTTTTTGTTGTTGTTGTTTGTTGTTTTTTTTTTTTTGGTACTGGGGATCAAACTTGGGACCTTGTGCTTGTGAGGCTGGCACTGGAACCACTGAGCTAAATCCCCAGCCCAATAAATGCTAATTTTAAAATAAAGTTATGTAACGTTTCTCTTAAGAGCTTAGTTTTTGGTAAGGCCAGGCTATTAAGTTCATGATGTTATTTCATTATTTTTTCCCATTGAAATACTTTAAAGGGTTACCATTCAAGAGGCCTAGGAAATTAATTAAAATTTTGACTTTGTTGGGCCAGGGATTTAGCTCAGTGGTTTTGCCGCCTGCTGCGCAAGCTCAAGGACCCCAGTTTGATCCCCAGTACCAAAAAAACCAAAAAACAAAATTTTGGCTTTGTTGTATTTTTACATTGGTTCCATTAAAAAAATATCCTTGCATTTCAGGTAATTTCTCGGCATACGAGGGAGCTACTGGGAATTGAAGAGCCATTATTCAGGCACACCATCAGACTTCCCTACAGGGACAATGTTGGCTTATTTTTAGAACAAAAAAGTCATACCAGGGTAAAATGTGACTCCTTGACCTTTTCTGAATTTGTTAAAGCAGCAGGATTACAGGACTACGCTCCATAAAGAATTCCCTGAACAGAAGGAGGCATTACATTGCACTCAATTACAGAGGAGAAAGAGCCATATCACTTACCTTGAAAGAGCAAACTAAATTACTTAGGGAAAGAGGTGTGGTCTCTTTGGAGTTTTCTTTTTTTTCTTTTCAATAAGGATCAGAGGCTGGACATGGTGCCACATGCCTGTAAACCCAGCACTCAGAAGTCTGAGGCAGGAAGATCGCCTCGAGTTTGAGGCCAGCCTGGCTACACAGTGAATTCAAGACCAGCCTGAACTACATAGTGAGACTCTGTCTCAAAAAAAGGGATTAGAGGGTCAGATTTAGCTCACTGGTTTCGCCGCCTGCTGTGCAAGCACAAGGACCTGAGTTCGGTCCCCAGTACCAAAAAAAAAAAAGAGGGATCAGAGAACTGCTGGGTCCATTCCTAGTTCTTCCTTTACTCATGGCATCTTCCCTTTATTTGTATTTCAGTTTAGCCCTTTATTAAAGAGCAATTCTTTTCTTTCTGGGTAATTGGAAGAATTATTGATAAATTCTAGTAATACACTTGGTGGTAGAAATATGTTGGGAAAATATAATTAAAAATAAAATCACCTGCCAGCCCAAATAATACATTCCACAAATGTAGAAAAGAATTCTTTTTTTCTTCCTTTTGGTACCAGGGATCGAACTCAGGACCTTGTGCTCTCGAGGTAGGCGGTAGAACCACTGAGTTAAATCCCCGGCAAGAAGTCTTTTGTTATTGAATAAGCATTAAACTGTGATGCATGCAGCAGACAAGCTACTAAATAGATTTCAAAGACAAAGAAATCTCACTCTTTAAAATATCCAGATACATATATCCTTTACATATGTATGAATTATTCAGCCCCACGGCCATGGGGTAGTGTAGAGCCATGGCTGCTGCTCTTCAATGGCTGCTGCAGCAGAAGCTATTAATGGCTGATTTCTTGTCAGATGGAATCTCAGTGTTGTTTTAATTTGCATTCACGAATGACCAGTGATGTTGAACATTTTTTCATATATTTATTTGCCATTTCTAATTCTTCATCTGAGAAGTGTCTTTTCATTTTAGATGCCCATTTTTGGAATTGGTTTTTAAATTTGGGGGATCTGATTTTTCTGATTTCTTTATATATTCTAGATAATAGTCCTTTATCTGGTGAATAGCTGGTACAAATATTTTCCCACACCATGGGTTGTCTCTTCACTCTGTTTGCGGTTTCTCTTGCTGTGCAAAAGCTTTTTAATAAGATGAGGTCCCAGTTGTTGATTCTTTGTAGTATTTCCTGTGCGGTCTGGGTTTTGTTCATGAAGTCTTTGCCTGCTCCCATGTCTGCAAGCATTCTACCTGTCTTCCAACAGATTTAGTGTTTCTGTTTTAATATTTAGATCTTTAATCCACTTCAATTTTAGTTTAGTACATGGTGAAAGACAGGGGTCTAGTTTTAATCTTTAACAGGTTGAAATACAGTTTTTCCACCACCATTTATTAAAGAGCCTATCTTTCTTCTAGTGAAGGTGTTTAGCTCCTTTGTCAAAGATAAGATGGCTGAATGTGTCTGGAGTTGTTTCTGCATCTTCTAGTCTGTTCCACTGGTCCTCAGGTCTGTTTTTGTCAGTAACCATGCTGTTTTAATCACAGTAGCTCTGTAGTATAATTTCAAGTCAGGGATTGTGATGCCCCCTGCCTTGCCTTTGTTGCCCAGAATTGCATTTGCTATTCTAGGTCTCTTCTGGTTCCAAATGAATTTTAGGATTATTTTTTCTAATTCTGTGAGATATGCTGTTGGAATTTTTATTGTGATTGTATCGAATCTGTATAACAATTTTAGAAGTATGGCCATTTTCACTATATTGGTTCTTCCTATCCAAGAACAAAGGATATCTTTCCATTTTCTGATATCCTCTTCAATCTCCTTTTTCAGAATACTGTAGTTTTCAATGCGGAGATCTTTTACTTCCCTTGTTAGATTGATTCCTAGGTGTTTCTTTTTTGGGAATGCTATTGTGAAAGGGATTGTTTTTCAAATAGGAAAAATGAGGAATGGGAAGTTCTCTTTAGTTATCAGAGAAAAAAAGATTTTAAAAAAATTTGTTTATATTTTCTTAAAAACAACAAGACTTATTGAAATACCACTGACAGTGTCATAGGGTCTGGGGTTTGCTTATGTCTGAGTTACATTATCTTGTTGTTGAGAAAATACCTGACACCCAAAGTTAAAGGTTTATTTAGTTCACAGTTTGTAGAGGAAAGGTTTATTTATCTCACAGTTTGTAAAGGTTTCAGTCCATAGCCAGCTAGCACAGCAGAGGGGCATCACAGAGGAGAAACTGTTCCTGGCAAGCAGAAGGCAGGAAGGCAGCAAAGCAGCGAGGAACCAAGCAGCAAGCAGCAACACCAGTCTTCTTTCTATCTCTTATATCCAGGCTACATGCACTTTGGGTGGGTAGCACTCACACTCAGAGTGACCTTTCCATTATTGTCACTCAGAATTATGCCAAACCAATCAGTGCACTAATTTAGCAATCACACACCCTTAATCCCAGCAGCACAAACTAGATCTAACCATCTCTGAAAAACCCCCACCTATGACTACATGAGGCTTTGGGGTTGCATCTAGACACAAGCCAATGGCTTATAAGGCTCCTTTATGTGGTAACTCCCAAAGCTTTATGATTCTGTTCCATGACAGAGCATAGTAAGTGGCATCTTTTGCTAGCTTGATAGGGTCACTGCTATTGTTTTCTATTCTATTATAGTTGACAAAAAGTATTTGCAAAACATAAAGGAAATAGGCTGGGGATTTAGCTCAATCGTGCCATGCCTGCCTTCCAAGTGCAAGGTCCTAAGTTCAATCCCCAGTACCACCAAAAAAAAAAAAGAATTAAAAATGCTTTTAAAAAATAAAGGAAATAAATTCTCTTTATATAAATAAGATCTATATTTTGCAAAATTATTTTAGCCATTTAATATAAATGGCAGTTATTTTTTAAGTTGGCTCTACGGTTTAAATGGTAACAGCTTTAAATAAGACAGTACCAGAAAACACACATATAACTGAAATAAGCATGAAATGAGACAATTAAGACTGTTTACCAAACATTTCTCTATCCAAAATGGTAGAAAAAAATCAAGCTGCTGCATCATTTGTCAGCTATATATGACATAGGGGGAAAAAAGCTACAGTATATAATTTTACAATAATGGCATTGTAGCTTCTTGAATTTAGCTTTTTGAAGAGAAATAATTTGTGTTAAGGCTTTTCTGGGGAAGTGGTTTACATAAGGGCATTAATTTGTATAGTTTGATTTGGTTGTTTCTGAAAGCTAGGCACACCCAAATATATTGACCTCTTGTTTATTCTACATGTAAAAGATCCACCAATACAATTTTCAAGCACAATACAGTCACATGATTACTTGTCAATTGTGATAATTGGGGATGTAACCACATAGAGCAAATCTGTGAGAGGGAAAAAGAAACCCCTCATCCCTGAGAGCTCTTACTGGGTTGTAGCATCCATGGAGATCATTGGCTAATCTTCTTTGACTAGGGAGATGCCAAATGAGTCACAGTATAGATGGGTAAGGTAGTCTTGGAGAACAGTACTGCTTGAGAGAAGCTGGCAAAAGGAAGTTTCCTTGAGCTGCACATCAGTCAGATCAAACCATGGGAAAGGCCTGGGGTAGAAGAGAAATTGTTATTTTTTTATCCATTCAATACATCATTTTTTTTTCTCTTGTTACTGGGGATTGAACTCAGGACCTTGTGCTTGCCAGGCAGGCGCGGTGCCATTGAGCTAAATCCCCAGCTCCAATCCATTCAATGCATGTTATTTGGCTGTTAAACACATGACCGAGGAAAGACTGAATTTGAACATATCCTAGGAGAAACTTGCAAACCTGAAAAGCAAAGCAAAACAAAGGACTGAAAAATATAAAACACAATACCCAAGGACTGTGAAACAACCAAAAAGGTGTAACACACATAATGATAATCCTAGAAGGAGAATAAAGAGAAAAAGGAACAATATTTGAAATAATGATGACTGAGCATTTCCCCAAATCAACGTCAGACACCAAACCAGAGAGCCAGGAAGCAAGCTGAGAATATCAATCAGGATAAATGCTAACAAAAGCAACAGCAAAAACCTACATCTCGATATTTTAAAACTAGAAAATCAAAGATAAAGAAGAATCTTGAAAAAAAAAAAACAGAAGAAAACACACTGTATCTATAAGGGGAACAAAGATATGAATTAAAAACTGACTTCTTTTTAGAACCATGCAAGTAAGAAGGGAGTAGAGTGAAATATTTAAAGTGTTCAGAGAAAAAATCCACCAACCTAGAATTCTGTACCCTGCAAATTATCCTTCAAAAATGAAGAATAAATAGACTTTTTTAAAAATCAAAGAAATTTAAGAACCAATATAGTGAAAATGGCCATACTTCCAAAACTATTGTATAGGTTTAATGCAATCCCAATTGAAATTCCAACAATATATTTCACAGAACTAGAGAAAACAATCCAAAAATTCATTTGGAACCAGAAGAGACCTAGAATAGCAAAGGAAATTTTAGGCAATGGCGATATGGCTGGGGGTATTACAATCCCCAACTTGAAACTATACTACAAAGCTACTGTGATAAAAACAGCATGGTATTGGCAAAGAAACAGACCTGAGGATCAGTGGAATAGATTAGAAGATACAGAAACAACTACAGATATGCTCAGCCACCTCCTCTTTGACAAAGGAGCCAACCATCCTCATTGGAGGAAAGATAGCCTATTTGATAAATGGTGTTGGAAAAACTGGATTTCAACCTACCAAAGATTAAAACTTGACTCATGCCTATCACCATGCACTAAATTAAGATAGAAGTGGATTAAAGATTTAAATGTTAGGACAGAAACAGTAAATTTTCTGGAAGATAGGTAGAACTCTTGAAGACATTGGTATAGGAAAAGACTTTATGAACAAAACCTCAGTGGCATGGGAACTTGCACAAAGAATCAACAACTGGGATCTCATCTTATTAAAAAGCTTCTGCACTGCAAGAGAAACCACCAACAGAGCTAACAGACAACCCACAATGTGGGAAAAAATTTTCAGCAATTGTACCTTAGACAAAGGACTACTATCTAGAATACATAAAGAACTGAAAAAAATCAGACCCCCCCCCAATTCAAAGACCCAATTCAAAAATGGGCATCTGAAATGAACAGACATTTCTCAGACAAAGAAGTAAAAGCAAATCAATATATGAAAAAATGTTCAACATCACTGGTTATTTGAGAAATCTAGATGAAAACATTAAGATTCCACCTCACCCCAGAACGAATGTCTGCTATCAAGAAATCAACCAATAACAAATGCTGGTGGGGGTGTGGGGAGAAAGGAACCCTTCTCCATTGTTGGTGGGAGTGCAGGCTGGTGCAACCACTGTGGAAATCAGTATGGAAACACCTCAAAGAACTAGGCTTAGAGGTCCTATTTGACCCAGCTGTCCCCCTGCTGGGTATCTTCACAAAAATATTAAAATAATCTTACCACAGCAATATCTGTGCACTCATGTTTACAGCTGCACAGTTTGTAATAGCAAAAGCTTGGAAGCAGCCTAAGTGCCCATCAACTGGAGACTGGATAAAGAAGATGTGGTGTGTTTTTTTTGAAGATGTGGTTTTTTTATAAAGTGGAGTACTACTCAGCCATAAAGAATGAGAAACTAGAGACATTTATAGCTAAATGGATGCATACTGAGGCCATCCTCTTAAGTGAAATAAATAGGACACACATGTGTAAATACCGAACAGTTTCTCTAGTGTGAGAAACTGAGAGTGTAATTAAGGATGCACACAGATGAAATGGCCTAATAACATTTCTCAGATTGTGTTTCTATCACGTGTCATATGATTGTATCAAAATTTAAATTAGGGGGAAGTTTGGCTTATATAGAGTCTGCTAACTAACTGGAGTTTTTTTTTCAGACCACTATTTGTTCAGTGTTGGTTTTGGGGATCTTTCTGAAGCAAATCACATCCTCTGGTGTCTTGTTGGGGCTTGAGATGCTTTTTTAAGTTATATGGAAAAATGTTTAAGTGCTTTTCAGTTCTGTTTTGGTTGAGTTCTGCTGTATTTGAATATTACTGTAATTTTTCCCCCTTGCATTGTTCTTTGAGTGATTTTAATTTTTTGTATGTGTGTGTGTTTGGTAATAGTTATTATTAAAAAACCAAAGAAATTTGTTGCCAGTTCTTTAAACAGAAGGAAAATGATATAGGTCAAAAACTTGGATCTACATAAAGAAAGGAAGAGCACCGAAGGAAGAAGTGAAGGTAAAATAAACACTTAATTTTTCTAACAGATAACAGTTTATTCAAAATAATAGCAACAGTGTATTATATATTGGCACATATGTGAGTGAAATGAATGACAGTAATGATATAAAGAATAGGAGGAAGAATTAGATTATCTTGTTATACAATACATTTGAAGTGCTATGATGTTATATGAAATGATACTTGGATTAGTTATAAATGTCTAGTGTAATTGGTAGGTTATAAGGTTAATATACAAAAGTCAAATATCTTTTCTGTATACCAATGTCTTGGTCTATTTTCTGTTTCTATGACTGAATACTTGGTAATTTATCCAGATTTGTTTAGTATTCAGATCTATTTAGTTCACAGTTCTAGAAGCTGGGAATTGCAAGAGTTGGATCATAACGTGGTAGAGGGCATCATATAGCAAAATAGAGCAACCATGTTACCTCAGGTCTCTCTTCCTCTTCTTATGAAGAATGCAGTCATGGGGACTTCCCCTCATGACCTCATTTAACCCTAAACACCTTCCAGAGGCTCTGCTTCCAAATTCATTGACATATGGCTTTCAGTATTAAACTTCAATATGGGTTTTGGAAGGGGCAAATATCCAGACCACACCAAACAGCAATAAATAAGTATAATTTGAAATTAAAAACAGTCTCATTTACATTGGTACTCCCCAAAAATACTTGAATGTAAATCTAAAAAAATATTGTACAAGATCTATACAAAGACAAACTGTAATAAAAGAAATCCAACAACAAAATAAATGTAGAGAAATTTCATCTTCATAGATGGAAAGACAATAGTTTCAAAATGACAACTCTTCCCAATTTGATTTGCAGAGTCAATACAATCTCAGTCAAAGTCCCAGAAAACTATTTTGTGAGTATTAAATTAATTCTAAAGTTTATATGGAAGGGTAAAGATTCAACAATAGCCAACTCACTATAGTACTGAAAGAGAACAAAGAAGACTGATATACTCACTTTAAGACATATTCATAATATAAAAGCCACAGTAACTGGGCATGGTGGCACATACCTATAATTCCAGCACTCAGGAGGCTGAGGCAGGAGGAATTCTATGAGTTCAAGTTCAACCTGAACTACATAGTTCAAGGCCAGTCAGAACTACACACCAAGGCCTTGTCTCAAAAAAAAAAAAAAAAAAAGAACTACCATAATTAGTGAAAGAATAGAGAAATAGAACAGTGGAATAGAAAGAGATCCTAGAAATAGACCCAAGTAAATATAATTAACTGCATTTTGACAAGGAGACAAAAGAATACAATGAAGAAAACAGCATTTTCAAGAAATGATAATAAAACTGGACATACATGTGAAAAAAAAACTAATACAGCCACAGACCTTATACCCTTCACAAAAATGAAATGAAAATGTATCACAAATTTAGGCCCGTATGGTGACACATAATCCTAGCATGAGGGAGGCTGAAGCAAGAGGATTGTCATGAGTTTGAGACCAGCCTGGGCTGCATCCTGAGTTCAAGGCCAACCTGAACTCCATAAGACCCTGTCTCAAAAACCTAAAAAAAACAGGGCCAGGGATTTAGCTCAGTGGTTCCGCCACCTGCTTCACAAACACAAGGTCCTGAGTGTGATCACTGGTACCCCCCCAAAAAAAACCTAAAAAAACTAAAACAAACAAAACCCCCCACAAATTTAAATGTAAAATGTATAAAATTCTGGATGACTTCCGCAAGGGGAGTTGATAGTGACTTTTTAACTATAACGTGAAAGGCATGATCCATAAAAGAAAGAATTGATAAATGGATTTAATTAAAATTAAAAACTTCTGCTCCATGAAAATAATGTCAAGAGAATGAAAATGCAAGCCACAGACTGGGAGAAAATACTTGCAAAGGATACATCTTTGTTATCCAAAATATACAAAGAACCCTTAAAACTGAACAATATAAAAATGAAGAACTCAAATTAAAAATAGGTAAAAGATCTTGATAGTCACCTCACAAAAAAAGATGTACATGCGGCAAATAAACATATTAAAATATCTTCAACATTAGGCAGTTCCAAATTAAAACAGCAATGAGACAACTGTCCACTCCTATTAGAAGTGCCGGAGTCCAAAACACTGACAACACTACATGCTGGTAAGGATATAGAGCAACAGGAAATCGCTTCAATTTCTGGTGGGAATACAAATAATACTTCAGAAGCGGTTTGGCAGGTTTTTGTTTTTTGTTTTTTGGGTTTTGTTTTTTTTTTTTTTT